CAGTGGAGCATTTATGTTCAATTCCTTTTCCTTTCACACTCTCACATAAAATCCGGCTCCACTAGACACCTGTTTCCTTTTCCTCCTCGACTATTGTAAGGTCATAGTCTGAATGTTGCAGATGTGCACCGACACTGTGACTGAGCATAAATCCAACTCTCAAGATCTCGATCAAACCAGCGGAACATTTTGTTTGCTCTGCAGAGCCGTTTCCCCGAACAAGACAGGCCCTTTCTTCACCCCACACTCTCTTAAAATCGCACACACTCTCCTCTGAACAAACACCGTTCCGCAAAACGTTTTCAAACAGTGGAGTCAGTGTTGAAATCCAAATGTTGGAGTTTTTTTGTGTTGGAGTTTATTATGTGCATGTGTACCTCAACAATGAAATAGCTCTTAAAAGGGTTCATAAATATCAAATCACATCCTAAAACATATCTGGCCATTTAATCGTCAGGTTCAGCTTCGATCACTGAATGCATGTAAAACATTGAACTGGAGCTGAATAAATGGAGTGGAAATCCATTTAAAGACAGAAGAACAAATGATGACAACTTCACCGTCATCACACAGCGAATGCATAGAAAACGACTTAAAATGCTGACAAGCAGCATAAATCTATCTCCCTGATGGCTGCCCACTCCCATGACTGTGCCGCCCTGGTCTGAGAGTCATAACTCTTCTATCAAGATCACCACTGCTGCTGAAGAAAACCAAATGTTGCAAAGACTCGTACTGCTGACTCTGAAGCAGAAACGTTTCATCTAGAAGCCAAGCATTCACCATCTGAGCACCGCTGCTTAAACTCGCCACAAGCAGGATTAGATTCAAACATATTTATGCACAAACTCAAACAAAGCTAAACATGGAAAAAGTCTGCAAAGAACAAAGTAAATGCTGTCGCTTCTGTCTGTACATGTAAACACACAGCTCTGCTCTCTGACAGGCTGAGAGCGACTGATCACAGCCACATGCAAACAACCCGGCTATCTTTCAGCAAACTCTGCCGACATCACGGTCCGTTCCTGCTGAAGCGCAATGATCCCTCCACAATGCAGGACTGCTGCGTGTGCATGCCTTCTGCTGTGAGCAAACACAACCTTTGTAAGTCTGTGATTAATCATCAAGGCGGTGTAACATGAGAACCTTGCTTCTGGTCACTCGGTGTGTTTTGGTGCAGATCAGAGACCTTTCCAGTGAATGTCAGCGCTGTGAGCACAGATCCCCTTCAAGGGGAGCCAAAGAGCTGCAGGCAACAGAAAGCAAACTGCTCTAAACCCTTTAGCACAATGTCAAACTCATTAAGAGCCAAATCAGAAATCTGAACGTTCTCGAAGGGCCAGTTGTGCCAGAATATGTTTAGAAAACCCATTAAACTGTTAAAATATTAACAAACAGCTGTTTGTTTCAGCATTCAACACGTTTTGTAAAATTAAATAATCGCTGATCAGTCCCTCCAGGATTTTGTGATTGTTTTTGCATTTTTTGCAATCAAAACTGCAGATTTCGTGGTAGTCATTAAGGACTATTTTTAAGGAATTTTGTGCTGATGAACGACGTCAAATGTGACTTTTTGCTACTCGTTGCGTCGGTCACATACTGCAACTTGACATCAAGGAAGGCTGAGGCAGCAGTCACTTAAACTCAATGTTTTTGACCAATTTTAAGAAAAATGTGCCGCAAAATCAAAAGGAAAATGTGGGGATTTGTTGATTTTGTGAGAATTTTGCGTATTTGTGAAAAACTGGAGACTTATTGATCTAATTTGGAGTCTAGGCCACATAAAAACACATAAAAAGCTACTCTGGGCCAGATTAGTTTCTGGAGGAAATATCTCAGTGTACTTTAAATAAGACAAAACTCACTTCCAAGTGACTTTTCAGCAAAATCCAACAGTTTGTTTTAAGTCAATGAATCCTTAATATTGATGAAAAACTATTTGTTAAAATATCAGGTTATTTCACATATAACAGGGGAAAAATATCCTTGCATCAATATTAAGCAAAAGGTGATTCTCATTGAAAATTATTATTTGTAAGCACAGATTGTTTTCTTACTTTGCGTTGATCTATCACGCAAAATCCCAATAAAGGAAATCAATGTTTGTGGTTGTAATTTTACAAAATGCAGAAACATTCAAGGAGTTTGGATATGTTACTGTACCTTTAAATCCTGCAGCCATGCTGGACATCCTGGCACAGACGAGCTGCGTCCTGAAGTCCTGATGAGCTTCTTCTGATGGAAAACTCTCCCTGCTGGTTTCTGAGACCTGATGCAAAAAACAGAAAACAAAGTGAGCGCACCGGGAAGACAGGAGAAAGACAATGTAATTTATAGAAAATGTGGTATGGGATGAAATGTCAACTATTCAGCAGAAAAGATGTTTGTCGCAGCTTCACCTCTTTTTGCTTGTCTGTCAAATAAAGTTGTCTCTTATCTTATCTGAGGAATTTCTCCAAGGGGCAAACAAGATAAATGAACTCTGCACAACATGAACTCAGACAAAGAAGAAGTAAACCTATTTTATGTTTGAGGCTTAATTGATCAGAAAAGGTTGGGGGAAAGGGACTTTTATTTTTCATTGTCTTTATAGTGACGAATTCAAACAGATGAAAGACTTCTCTATTTATAAAATCTAATTCAAATCAAAAATATTTACAAATAAATGTACTAATAGCTACAAGGAACAACTTTAAACTTTAAACTCTTATTAAATATTTTCCTCTATTGCATCTAAAAGACATTCTGCTTTAATATGAGCTTATTGGTTATTAAGAGCAGCTCCACTGTCACTTCAACAACCTTTATACTTTAGAAAAGTTGGTGCCACAGACCAAACACTCACTTTTCCAGGAGCATCAATCTCCCCCTGCACTTTTGCCAAAGTCTTCATTTTGCTTTTTCCTCTTGAATCTTCCTCTCATGTGTTTGAATCTCCTCAAATGCGGATTTTATTTTGAAAAGGATTCCAGAAAAAACGTCTGCATCATCCCGTCTGAAATCCGGCAAACAGAAGACAATTCCCTTCCTCCGTCAGTCCTTTATTTCTCCTCTGTTCGCTGAGAGGTGATCAGTCAACCCGGGCAGGTCCGGTCCCGTCCCTCAGGTCTTTGTTCAGTCTGTGAAAAACAGCCTTGGGAATAAACATGTAGAGCCTTGTAAAAGTATTCACAAACCAGGATTTTTCAGTTTTCATTTGTCGTCATGTTGAAACAACAAACTTTGACATATTTTATTGAGACTTTTTTTTGCCGTTGACCAACACAAAGTGATGCGTAGCTGTGAAGTGGAAGGATAGGAGGCTTGGCTTTGGTTTTTATTTTTAGAAAGGAAATCTACATCAATGCTCAGCAGAAACATATGACTCGACCACCTCTGCACTCCCAGAGACGACAATGTTTTTGCCAAACAGCTCAAATTCGGTCAGATTGGATGGAAAACATCTGCAAAACATAAAATTTTCAAGTCTTACCACAGATTCTTCTTTGGATTTAAGTTTGGACTTTGAGCCGTTTTACCACATAAATATACTTTGATCTAAACTTACAATCCAAAGAGTTTTTCTTTTTCTCCGCCCTCTATTGAAGACAGTCTGTGCACAGCAGCAAAACTAGCTAATTAAAAAGAAAATGCTTTTCAAGTTTCCTCGCCACTTATTGACAAAATCACGTTAGAAATTATGATTTTCTTCTCTTTTTTAGGAACAATAACAAACATCAAATGATTATTTTAAAAAAGAAAAACATCACTAAAGCCATTAAATAAAATTACTGGACAAAAATGTAACATATTAGTGCTTATCCCTATATTAAGGAGGAGAAAACAAATACAAATATGCTAAAACTACCAGATTTTATGTAATTTTTGCATTTATAAAAACTTAATCGTTACATTTTTAAACACAGTTTAGTTTGATGTCACCTCAGCTCTACCAGATTATTTTTCTGGTAGAGCTGAAAATAATCAGTTCTACCAGAAAGCTGCACACAAGACGTGCACATAATCTGAGGATATGCACACATTGCATTTAGCATTTAAACAGTTTCATTTTAGTTTCTCTTATATGTATCTTATTAGAACACTTTTTCACCAAGTGTCCATGTGTTTGCCAAGACTTTCTGTCTCTTTCATTCTTTCTGCCAGAAAGGCTCAATTTGCAGATTTCAAGACTAGAAAATGTTCTTTTAGGTGATTCTCCCTAGATTTCTATGACTTACAAAAGAATTGTGCACCAATAAACAATCTTAGTGCTTAAATTCAGTCAGACGTAGAAGTAATGTAACGTTGACCACATAAACAATAAGGCAAACTTGGCTGGAATCCTTTTTAATGGGTAATGTCTTCAAGCAAAATAAATATAGAGAATGGTTATTGGAACAGACAATGTTTTTTTATTCAGTGACAAAAAGAGGCTAATTCACACCATTGGGATCTTCTTATCATCACTAAAGTCTTATAAGAGAGTAATTTAGCTCTGAAATGCTTGATCTCAGTGCTGATTTTCTGCTGCACGTTGGTCACACCTGATTGGATTTCACCGTCTTATCAATTAATTACATTCCGCTTCATAAGCAGCTTACACTTCTTTTATTGCAGTACATTTCAATTAATTACCTGATTTTTGGGAGATTGCATAATTCTTCCAACTTTGGACAAATAAAGGATAACATCATTATAGTTATTAATAAAAGAAAGTTACTGGACGACATGTAAGATTTTATTTCTCACAAGCTGGACTGTTTGCAATTATTCCTCATCATTTATTGTGTCACTCCTATGGCCCCTTTAAGGGTTGAATTGTATTCAGATGAATAATATGTTCTGAGAATGAAAACAAGACAACAGAAAAGCACGAAGAATGTGCAAAGATGTAAGTTTCCAGCTTGAAAGCATTAAGGAAGCAAAAATGAAATTGGTCTGAGAGGCAAGTAATCCTCTGTCCTGAAAGCTGCTCTAAAAGGGATGAGCTAAGCGCAGCAGATAAGTGAGCAGGACTCGGTGAAGTCTTCTCCTCCTGGCTTTCCATCACGGTTTGCAGATGGGTAATCTTCATCTGTCTGGAGAAACCGGAGGAAACTCTGACGGCAGCTCTGGAGTAACTCTGGGAGAAATCAGGAGATATTCAGAGGACATGACAGAGGAGTGACCCTGCATTACAACGACCCCCAGCTGAGCCGCTGCCCTTCATTGGTGAGTTTACAGACTTCACCGATATTCAAGCTGCAGTAGACACTGCCATGTTATTTCTTTTCTTTCTCCAAATCGTGTAAAAACACGTTAACACACACTACCATCCTCAAAACATATATTTATTTATAGCAGTTTATTCCTAAATTAATAAAGAGTCCAATATTTCATATTAATATTGATTACAGTATGTGTGAAGCATGCTCTGCAAAATGTGTTGAAAAGCCTCAAAAGAAAGCTTAATAACATTTTGGTGCTTTGAGGAGAGTCAGACCCGTAGCTCGGCGTCTGCACACGTGAACTTTTCCTCATTTAACCCTCCTGAGTTCAGCAGCATATTTTTACTGCTGATCCACTTACTCCCCGGTAAAAGCACACTGATCTGATGGCGTTAAATCTGTGACTCACAGCAACCTACGAGTCATAATCCCTGATTCTTCCTTCTCCTTCCCAGCCTGTCAACAAGAAAACTATTGACTCTGTTTTCCAATCAAGCAGATCTAAAATCTGACCCGGAGTGAATTGAAACACAGTAGCCTCTTTTCCACATTATAACCACAAACTTCAAAGCATTTTATTGGGAATTAAGATGCATGACAACTAGATTTTTGCAAAGTAGGAGGAATACAGCCGCCAGTATTTTAGTGTTTGCCTCTCGCAGCTTCACACAGGACTGGAAATTTTGCAGTCGTCTTCACAAAACAGCTGAAAACTGAATCACAATAGATTGAGACGGTCTGTGAACGTTATTTTTCATTCTGACCTACGGATATGATTTGATCCAAACCATTGCATTGCAGCTCTTCCTGTTGTTTTTGTAGTGTTTGTAGTGTGAACCTCTGTCAGCATAATCTATGAGTTGGGACATTTGAAAAACATTGGCAAAGTATTCAAATTGATCAATATAGTGGAGTTATATATACTTTACAAAGTAAAAAATAAACAATTACAAAGTAAAAAATAAACAATTACCAGAAATAATTTAAACATTATTAAAGACTATTATTATTAGAGAACTATTAGAAAAAACTTTTGTCTCGGTGAATCGAGTCAAACTATGGAATAATTTGACTATTGAACTTAGACAATGTCCAAACATTAAACCTGTTAAAATGATCATAATGATCCTGGGGGATTCTGTGGGGGTGTTCAGAGTTTGGGATGTTATTTGGTGATGCAGGTTTAAGGCTGCACACACAGCTGTGTGTTCCTGGCCTTCATGATGTCAAGTCAGGTTTATTTGTAACACATTTCAGGAACAAGGCAGTTCAAAGTGCTTCACATCATAAAAACAAAACAACCAATCATGAAACAAGGAAAGAACCTTCAGTTTCCTCAAATGACTTCTACAAAATCATCAAGCAAATCCAGATCAGATGTGATCATCAATGTTACACTTAACACAAATCAAAAGCCTTTGATTGACTAAAAGTGTTTTGGACTTTTCTGGAAGTTTGTTCCAGATTTGTGGTGCAGGTGGTTGTGATTTCTCTTCGTTTGGTTCTGGTTCTGGGGATGTAGATCAGACCAGAACCAGAAGACCTGGAAGGTTGATACGACAAAAAGTCTTTTGTGCATTTTGGTGCTAAACCATTCACTGATTTCTAAGTATTTTAAATTCTCTGAGCTACAGGAAGCCAGTGTACGGACTTTAAAATCTCCCGCATGTTCACTGAAGTTCTTCTGGGCTCCAGTTCTTTTTGCCGATTAGACTATATTTGTTTTATTTTTTTTTTACTTTTTATTGCTTAGATGCGACCAGACAAGTTGGAGTGACTTCCATTCCAGTGGATCCGTTGGACGATGGCCGCCGCAGCAGAGGACCCCCACCTGGGCTCAGGACCGGATGACGACGGCGACGCACCAGGACTGGACTCGGACTCTGACAGCATCCTGTCCGATGACTCTGTGCTCCCTGACAGCTCAGTGGAGGCAGCAAACAGCGGCTCGGCCAACACTGTCTACGAGGCGTGCCTCCGCAACGACTCGGCCGCTCTGAAGAAAGTTCTGGAGAGAGGGGTCACCAGGGAGGAGGTGATGGAGCTGGACGTTAACGGATGGGTGAGAGTCTGACTTGTGACGGCGTTTCAGCTGTTTGACATCCAGTGCGGTTGCTGATGGTTGATTTCACCAACAGAACGGCCTCATGGTGGCTTGCTGCAAGGGTTTCCTTGACATTGTGCATGGGCTTCACACCTGTCCCTTCATAGACATAAATCATCAGGATAATGAAGGCAACACGGCACTAATGATTGCATCTCAAGGAGGTGAGTGCAATAAAATACAGCAGCTACACCTGAAAAAGGCTGCGGACAAATGACTGACTGAGCAGAGAACAAAGTGATTATTTGGTCTTTGGCTCTCTCCTCTTCTTGCAGGTCATATATTCACAGTGATGTATCTCCTAAACTACTACCCAGGAGTTGACACTGAAATAAGGGACTGCAGAGGATTCACAGCCCTCATCAAATCTGCTATGACCGGCCGCTGTGACGTCGTAGCTGCCCTTGTTATGGCCGGTAAGGAAAAGATAGTTTCTGTTTACAAGGATGGGTTGTTTAAGGAGGATTACATGCAAAATCAATGTTTATTTTAGCTTTAAATTATGGTATAATGTTATTCCGAAAACATACCTGGAGTGTTGCTTTGCTCTTGCAAAGTGCCACCTATTTGCCCAAAGCTCCTCCTCAGAGCCGATCTCCCGCTCAGCTCCTCCAGACTAGCGGCAGCAGCAGCTAACAAACACCTGCTGGAACTGACAGTCTGTTGAACTCATCAGACAAACTACTTCTCAGTTCAATGCTCCTAAGAACGGTAGTGAGCAGCATCATGGAGAAGCATTTTAGTGACAATGAACTGAAGGTGGAGTTTCTGAAAGAGCAGGAGGTTCTTTAAGAGACAGAGGCCAATTTCAAGGCATGAAACTGAAAGGTCAGTTTTCTTTAATTCATGTTTAACATATGCAGCATTATTATAACAACTGGAGGTAACACAGTTACTTGATTGTGCTATAAAATGGTAATATGTGCCTAGAAAATGCAAAATACCATAACATGAAAAAGATTTTGTGTCTTTACATTTCGCTGCAAAGATGCCAGTATTTCTAATGTTAACTTAAAGCTGGTTTTTCAAACAATTCCTGGTTTTCTGAACGTCTTTGAGGTTTGTAAAGTTTTTTTATTTTGAGTCTTTTCTTCATCAGATACAGTAACTGAATAGAATAAAATGAAAGCAACCAAAAAAAAAAAAAAAAACTTCTGATTTTGAGAAAGTCAAGATAAATAATGATCCAGAAAGGATCAATACATTCTGGAAAGAATTGAAAGGATGTTCTGGATGTCTAAATCATTTGTACATTGAAGGGAATTAATCAAAAAACAGAAAAGGCAGGGAGAGTGATGGATAAAAAGAAACGTAGATTCCTGAGCTCTGCAGAAGCGTCTCAGTGCGGCTGATGACAGCAGCCATGTTTCATCGGCGCCTATTTAAAGCCGGTTGACTCGGCTCAGTCTGAGTTAATGACTCGGTGACGCGTGGCTGCTTTAAGGGATCTTTCTGAGGGCATTATCACATGTCTGCAGTAATCTCCTGACTGCTCCTCCTAGCAGGCTATAGATTAGATACTTACTTCTTTTTAGCTCAGGTGTTTTTCAGACTCGCTGCTGCGACTGACCAGATTTCTAGTAAACTTTGCATTAACTTTACTTTAGCATTTGACCTGTGATGAACAAAATCACAGTGCAGTCAATGGACTTTGTGTTGCTTCCAACACCAACTAAACTCCCGACCAATGAATTTTGACAAAGGAAGCTGAATGACGAGTCAAGTCAATATTTCTAGTTTAGGACAACAAGGCTGTTCAAAGTGCTTTACATGATCCAAACAAAATGCAGACCAAAACCAAAAGATACATTAAAGATACCACAGCAGATCTTTGATATATATTTGGTGGTAAGTTATTCAGTGATTTATAAATGAACAGAAGTATTTTTAAAGTCTATTTTCTGAGCTACAGGGAGCCAGTGAAAGGGTCTGATGGCCTCTATCTTCCTGGTTTTAGTGAGCAGCAGCGTTCTGGCTTAGCTGCAGCTGTCTGGTTGATTTTTTACACAGACCTGAGAAGACACTAAAGACCAATGAGCCAGCTTTTCCTCCTCCGCCTCATGTCCTTCTTCCTTTTCAGGGGCTGACGTGAACGCAGTGGACTCCTTCCGGGGAAGGTGCGCTCGCGACTGGGCCCTGAAGACAGGTCGCTATGAGACCTTCCACCGTCTCCGCCGCCTCACCATGCGGCCGAGAGCCGAGCAGTTCTGCGAGAGCTACGTCCCAGAGTGGCCCGACCTCGTGGGCAGAGTGACCAGGGCCACGTCTCAGAAGACGTCTGCAGAGAAGATCACACTGCGCCTCAAAAGCACGTTTGGATTCAGCTTTCCTCGTGACCCCCAGGAGAACGGGGTGATGGACCACATGGTGCGCATGACCACCAGCATCCACAGCCCGCTGGTTGTAACCGGGTGCCACCCTCTGCTGCCCACCAGCCCACCCGAGCTGGGGAAGAGACGGCTGGCGGTGGCGGAGCTGGTGAAGAAACATCCACATAAGGATCTGGAAGGCAGCTCGGTGTGCCACAGCAACGGCTCGGTGTCGCACATCACGCCCTGCATCCACTCTGCAGAGACAGTGGCCTCGGTGTGCTGCCCCGACACCGAGCGCAGAGGCAGCATCCTGTCGGTGGCCTCCAACAAGGTGGCCACCGCCTTCATCCCTCGAAGCATGGCGAGACGCAACAGCGTGTTCCCATCCGGGTGCATCCCTCAGATCAACGTGAACAAGCCTTCAGACCAAACGCCAAAGAAGGAGAAGAAGAAGAAGAAGAAAGACAAGGGCTACCTGGAGCCACCCAAGTGGAGATACAAGGAGCTTAAGGACGAGAAGAAGAAGGAGAAGAAAAACGCCGAGAAAGACAAGGAAGGAAAAGGAAACAAAAAGGATAAAGAGAGTAGGAAGACAAAAAATTGATGGTGGAAACAAATAACTCCAAGGCACTCTCCTCTGGATACTAACAACAATTCATAATTCACGCCAAAACATGTCTGAATTTGATCTTTTAGACCATTTCATGCTGCTAAAAGCATTCTAGTGAATGTTTTACTTTATTTGCCTGGGAGTTTGGGGACGTTCAACTTCAAGCCCATCTGAAGAAAAACATGTCAAATCAGCCCAGGCAGCATTTCTTCCACACAGACATCAGAAATGTTTTGGCAAGATTTCGCTTAACCTGAAGCTCTAAAAGTCACAAAAATACCTCATATGTGCAAAATATTTATTTTATATCATATTGTAAACAGTGTAGCACTATTTGAACATTGTTGGTATCAGTAAAAGCCTCAGAGATGCTCTTTTATAAGATGTGCATATAAAACCCATATTGAATCATTTATTGACAGATATAGTGCCTACATCATCACCCATTCAATAAACCCAGTAAGTCACAGATCAGGCGTTTGTCTGTTTGCTGATATTTACAATTTAGGCTCTACAAGTGAAGCTAAGTTACTGCAGCTCATTATTGTTGCTGCGCAGCAAAAAGAGCAATCACAGGTTGACCTTAATAAAAACCACAAAATTCAGATTTTATTAGAATAGTATCTGATAGACCAGCACAAAGAGATTAAAACACATGAAATGGGAGAAAAAGAACATAATTTTCACACTTCTGAGCAAGTGACATCTGAAAAGTGTGGCATGAATTTGTTTTAGACCGAGAGGCTTAAATGAAATGTTGCCTCCAGGGTGTCTGAAGAATGAGATGATTAAAGCATATTTATCTGTCAGAGAGATGGGATATTAAACTAAGAATTAACTCTGAATAATAACAATAATAATAATTTGTATTTCTAAAATAATAATAAAAAAATTCCACCTCTTTGTAAGTGCAGTTTGATCGACTTTTATCACATAAATCCCCATTAAAATTTGTGGTTGTAATGTAATAAAATGCAGAAAGGTTCAAAGGCCATGAATACCAGTTTATGCAAAATAATCACTTTATTTTCTTGCTATTAATATTTATTATTTTGCAGCCTGTGTGGTTGAGAACGAATGTAACGGAGAGTAAATTTAAATCCTCCCGTCTTCCGCTGTTTTCTAATATTGCCAACAATTAATCAATAAGATATGAACAGTTCTCAGTCTATAGGATGGTTTTAAATAAATTTAGAGTTGCAGAGGTTTGTGTGATATTTCTTAGTATTTAAATATATTTTGAATGCATAAATGATTGTGCAAAGTGGAACAAAAGACTTGAATTCATTTAAGATTTGTGAATGTAGTTTTCATGAAACATTCAGAACTTTCTTGTTCAATAAAATCATATAAATACAAATGGTTAATTTAATTTACTAAATGATCATTATGTGTGATGAATGGTCATTATTAATTTCTACATCCATTTCATTTGACCGAACAGTGAAGTGTTTGTTTGTTTCGCAGTCATGGTTGGCCATTAATTTACCATAAAAAAATTTTAAAAATCAAGCATTTGCAGACTTTATTAAATACTAATTATTTGTAAAACATATAGGTTTTTGTATAAAAATAAATATTCACACACATATCTGCACATACATAACAAGAATTCAAGCTTTCATGTTTTAATTTTTGCAATCTTTTGGTAATTGTTTTGATCGAGGAGAGCAATATTAAATTTAATTTGCCCGTTCCAGCAGAGCCAAATAGAAAAATTAAATACCGGGTTTATGAGTTAAACAAATTGTTAAGTTTACCAATCATATCAGTGTTTGACGCTCGGTTTGTTAAACAGCTAAACAAATAAACTCTGTGATTGTTGTTAAGCTCAGGTGATCAAATCTGTTTTGAAACACTTTTGTGATGCTCTTAAAAAGAAGAGCGGCTTTAAGTCAAACCCTGCTGAACCTGATTCAACCTCAGGTCGGTCCGGTCTGAACAGAACCACAGAACAAGACGGATCTGATTACTTCTTCACATCACTGCCTGGATTATTGATTATCTGAGCTCAGTTAGCAGACTAAGTTACTTTAAAACAAAGTTTGAGTCAAATACGGTTTTTGCAGCTTTCTAAGATGCATGAGTTTTTCTCCAAGAGAGTCAATCCCCCTTTCAGCTAGAAAGTTAGCCACCTCCGTTGTTGAATGCTCTATTCCTCTTTCCTCGTGAATAAACAGTACAGTATGTGCACAGGAGCATTTCCTGAGGGTGTTTGCAATTTCCTGCAAATTTGACCTACAAATTTGTTTCCTAAAGAGCTGGCTCTGAGACAAATCCTGTTTGAAATGTTGCTAAAACAGAGTAAAGCAATGGGAAACCTTTTCAACAGGAAAGGCTGCAGCAGCAGAACCTATATTTTACTGGACAGATTTAATGTACAAACAAAACATTTCTGACAACAATCTCAGCTCCAGAATACCTTAAATATACATAGGGAACAGCAGTACACCATTATCATTAAGTACGACCTACTATGTGAGCATAACTGAGTTTTATAGATGTGTTACAAAAAGAAATGGCCCAAATGGCCCTGAGGTTCCCCTCATGTTTTCTCCAGATGCAGATAAAGACTTTCACTGAGCCTTAAAATCAGCTCCCATCAGACTGATGATGTTCATAACTCCTGTTTTTTTGTTTTGTTTGTTTGTTTTTATCTGTTCTTGGATTCCTTTAAATCAGATTAAGGCTTTTTTAGATTTACTCAACATTGTGATTCAGACAGGTTATATTTAAACAGGTCTAGCTTTAGTTAGTCCTGGAAGTGGCAACTGAACCACAAAATGTTGCTAACTTGTTTATTTGAGATGTTACAAGGGGATTATCGTAGTGTTATATTGAACTTTGTTTGATAATCTGAAGCAGATTTTAAAGTTTGGCAAAAATCAAAACCACAATAAATCTATGAGGGGCTAAATACTTTTCAGAGGATTGATGATTGGTTTAAATGCAGCAGCCATAACAGCTTCTACGCCACCGTAAAAATAAAAAAAATTAAAAAATTTACTTCTCAACACCCACACCTACTGACTGAATGCACTGGCTGGTCATAGATGTATTTCCATCATTTCTTTAAATCACACTGGCTTCTGATTATGTTCATTTCTTTACAGTAGGAGGCTCTAACGCCCTTTAGGATAGCTTGGCTATTTGGAGTCCTCTAAACCTGCTGAGACAGATTTCAGCTTATCTGTTAATGTCATGCTGCTCTTTCTGCTCCTGTCAACAGGTTTTCTTTTGCTCGTCAGCAGTTTGAATATTTGGGGGAAATGGAGAAACTTGTCCTCATGCTGCTGCAACAGGGAGGCCACCTGGACTACTGTTGAGCTCAAGTTATTAAAAACAAACATTTCCCAGAATCATCTCCAGCTGCTGCCACCAGGGTTAACGTGAGACCCTGGTGGCATGAGAACGTTTACAGAAAGCCTTCCAGGAAGCCGCAGGGCCTCTTATTATTCAGGCTAAAAGCTGTTTAGATGATCTAGTTGTTTAACTTTCTGAATTTGGCTTTAATGGCTTTGTGATGCAAACAATAAGCTTTTTTAGTAATATATGATGAATGCCACTCCTGACTTAATTATGTTTTAATTATTTTTATTTTACCAAAATGTTCCTTCTGACTGACCACTAACGCTTTGGAGTCACTCAGTTAAAATCCCAAACCTGTGAAGTGAGCTAAAGATTAGGGTGATGGAGAGGAGACCTTCCGTCCTCATCAGCAAAGATAAATCGTCAAAATAAAAACAGGAAATGCTAGTTGGCAATTATAAGGATTGTGAGGGCAAAGATGAGCCCACTATTCATTTGGAGGAGCATAAATCCTTCTCCACATTCCATTTTTGCTGAAATGTAAATAAAAACATTTGCTTTAAATTAACTTTCCGTGTAGATCCAACTGTTGTTTCCACTTGTCCATGCAGTCATAGAGGACAGCCGGTTTCTATCTCCAGATGATTAAGACAGAAAACCCTGAACGGGCTTCTTTTTTTTTTTTTGACTCTTCTCGTTTTCTGATGCGATCTCTTTCAATAAAAGTGAGTGAAATATATTTGTTTTGCTCAAATGAAGCTTTTCAAATGACTTCTCCAACCCACAAGTCAGGAAAATATCAACAAGATTAGAAAATACAGAATTGACTCAGGTGGATTTTAAGACAAGCTGGCGAGTCGTGCAAATTAGAAACACAAAGGTTTTATTTAACATCTTTTAAATTAAGGATCTCAGATTAGTACAAAAACGATGCATTTACATGCAGTTGTACACACTTCATCAGGCATAAAGCAGGACATTTAATGTTCCTCACACATCCATCTTAGAAAATGGAATGACAATGCTGCTTCTCTGATTCTTAGTGATTATGTCCAATAAACAATGGATCAAAACCTAAAAAAAAAACTAAACAATTAATCTGTTACGTTTTGACTGCCATCACTGTAGCTAACAAAAAACCAGAAAACATTTTTAACTTGACCATAAAATAGAGGAAATGTGTCGTAAAATGAAGATTTAGAATTAGTGATGTAATGACAAAATTATTTTTCTAATAATGTCATCAATCAAAGTCGGTCACATGCAAAAAAAAAACAAAAAAAAACAAAACAAAAAAATGATAAACAATCCATTACATATGTAGTAACACATGGCAGGGCACAACACAAAATGTCAAAATAAAGCAAAAAATACGTATATATTTATTGATATTTGGACATTTAGGTCAGAGCAAAGCTGATTCCTGATCAGTGTTTATGTTTGGTTGGAACCTGGATTATTTCCACAGGTTGCTGCAGGATTATAATCCTGAACTGTTTGTGCAAAGTCTTTCAACTGCAACCTGCAAAAACCCAGATTTAAAGAACAAATCCAGACGTTTACCACAATTTTACATTTAATGGCAAAACTGTTCTCAAACATTCCTAACTTGACATTTTGATGCTGGTGAACGTTTTTGGTGCTTACATCAACATGCTTACAATGATATAGATCAACACCTGCCTTTAAATAAACATCCTAAATTAAATGAACAAGAGGAGAATGTGATGATCATCATACAAGCTTTAAAGAAAAGGTGTGAGGGGTTTTTACACACTGATGCTGATTCACTCGAGTTGCAACATCCAATTTAACTTTTAGAGAAACTTAATGCCTTTGGTGTTTTCAGCCTTAAAATAAATTGAAAAGTTGGTAAAATGGGGGAATGTTTTTTTGTTGTTTTGTTTTAATTATTTCATAAAGTATTAAAAGGGCAGAGATGGTAACTGTGCCTGCAAGTTTCTTCTTTTTTCAAATCTCTCGTCAATTACAAGGGATTTTGAATTTGGCTCCATTTAAAGAAGGTTTTATAAGTCCTGTGCTACCAGCTATATATTTCAGTATTGCTAAAACTCCAGAGACAGAGAAGTCTTTCTGTATGGGCGTTATCGGAGAAGTCAACGCACTCTCTTATTTCTCCTCCCACATGCTTGTGCTTTCCCTTTGCTCTGGTCTCAACCCAAAACAACATTCCTAATTACTCCCTAAAGTTGTGCCTGTCAAAAGAAAAAACAAAAACAGAATAAAACAAAATCAGTGGATCCAAATCTATTGAATATAAGTAGTATATCATTTAGCAGTTCGTCAACTTTACTCACCCTCTTCTCCGTCGGTCAACACCAGCGCCTGGAGGATATCAGAAAGCGAGACGATTCCCTTCACCACTTCGTTCTCATCAACGACCACGAGTCTGTGGACCTGGAGGAGACAGAGGACGGCCAGCCAAATGAGCCTCAGGCCTGCTGAGTACAGTAATTCAATACGACCACAGGACAAGAGAATGAACAGAGAACGAAGAACCAACACGTGAAAATGTGAAATTAGCTGGAGGAAACATGCTGGATACATTTCAGTCTTCTGTTGATTTACTGAAGTGATGACACACATGTATGTGTATAAAAACACATAAAAGATGTGTTTTTATGCACAAACTTCACAAAATTAAACTGGAAAAGTAAATCAGATTTCCATCTCCTACTGCACATATTTGGTCTTCTACACATGGATACCATGCCATGTTACTTCCTTTTCCCACAAACAAGAATGAGAATCAATGCAAATTTAGAATAAAATAAAAGCTAATTAAACAAATGTGCTGTGGTTTTACTAATTTGAATATCATCATATGATACCTGATACTCACTGATGTGTTGCACAGAAAATATGAGAAACTAATTTCAATAAAGCAAACTGTGTCAACCTGTCTAAAACTAAAACATCTACCTTCGTATATTATGACAGCTGATTGGCTCCATTTCCAGCAATACAATCTGAATTTT